CTACGCAGCGGGAGCTCCTGGTTCGACTCAAAATCCAGGGCGGATCATAATAGATGCGGATGTCAAAAAAAAAACCCCCCAGCGCCTCGGGAGCTTAAACGTTCTCATTACAGCGGGTTTGGGGCGGCTAGAATCACTGAATAAATCGATGAAAGCTGTGATCATTCGAGTTGAACAAGTGAAGCGCCGAGTCGGGCCGAGGTCCGGGCGGAGTCTGAAAACGACTTCTCCTTTATCCAAAAGCCAGCTGAGACTCTCTTACTGTGCACTCGACCTCTGACGAATGGTGTCACCAACTGTATTTAATTTACGACACCCGTGACCTAGTTCTTGCTTTGTGTTAGACAAGCGTAGATGAGAAAATGAAGATTTCCGTCCCCCGTTCCGTTCCATGTGATGGGAAGCATTCCGATCACACTGCCACTTCACGCGTTCTGCCTCTGCACCTCTTTGGGCTTCAGCATAATATCTTTCTTCGTCTCAGTATCAACTCGAATCGTAAATAGCGCGTTTGTGGAGGCGTCAGCCTTGTCCCGCGCGCGTGCGCCCGTTCTCCGTCCGCACTTCGGTGCCCTCCACATTCAGTGGCGTGTTTGTGGGGGCGTCAGCCTTGTCTCACGCGCGTGTGCCCGTTCTCCTGTCTCGCGCGCGTGCGCCCGTTCTCCGTCCGCACTTCGGTGCCCTTCACATCCAGTGGCGCGGATGTGGAGGCGTCAGCCACGTCGTGTCGGTGGACGCGTTCCCGACCCGCGCATCGTGCGCGCGTTTTCTTTGCACTTCGGTGCCCTTCACATCCAGTGGCGCGGATGTGGAGGCGTCAGCCACGTCGTGTCGGCGGACGTGTTCCCGACCCGCGCATCCTGCGCGCGCTCTCTTTACACTTCGGTGTCGTCGTTCCATGGGCGCGTTTGCTCGTCCCTGTCTTCCGCGCGTGCGCCCGACCGTTTCGCACAGCTGGCATCTGGACTGGCCGGGTATGATTTCTCCCCAGGCCTCTGCAGATTATCCTCCGTACACCGGTCAAGGTGCTTTTCTTCCTCCACATGTTTCTTGTCCTGTGTGTTTGTCTCCGAGGACGTTGTTCACATGGAGGCTTGTTCCATCCCGCTACCAAGCTCATCTCGAGGGCCGCGCCACCTCAGAGGTCGCATCCGAGTTCCTCCTTCCGCACCCGTTGGAGGTCTTGCATACATATCGTTTCTCGTCGCCTTTCGAGCTCTGACGCACGCCGCCACGTAGTCGTTTCCGGGTCCGGTCCATAAGGTTTATATTCGGCCGCGAGGTCGCGTCAGCACGCCCCCTCGGAGAGTCGTGGCTCGCATATTGTTTTCATTCCGGTGTTGCTTACACCCCGCCCCTCGTGTTTTCGTCGACCCGCATTTGGTACTCGTTGGGATTATGTGTTTGCACCGTTTCTGACATTGCACCCCCACGTCCGCATATACATTCATGTATGCCTGTGCATCCCGTTCCATGCTCTATACATTTGGTAACCCGTCGCGCGTCTTTTTAATGTTGTTAGTCCCATTCTCTCGGCCCCGTGCCAGCTCCGCGCCATGTTTCACTTGGTGTCAGTTGAACACCGCGGCATTTGCACAACTCCTTCGTCACACCTAAAGGCATTCAAAGTTTATCTCTGGGGTCTATAACTCAAATGGGCCGTCTTCAAAATCATGCTCATCGGATTTCCAAGAGGATCCATATTTTTGTTCTCTGCCTACTCACTATTCCTGTACCTCTAGGCTCTCTTTCTTTTTCGTTCCTTCGTTCCCCGCGCCGAGCTGCGCGCCCGTCATATCGGTTTTCCCGCTACTGCCCGTCCCGATTGCTCCGTGGTCGTTGTATATATATTGGTTACAGTCTTCTCCGCCCACGGTCCCGGGTGCGTCATCCGAGGCCCTAGCTCTGATTGTCCGGCTCTGCCTACGCGCACCACTGTGTTGACGTTCTTACTCGTGGCGTTGTGGTCTTTGTACACTGGACATCCCCGCTGTGCTGTGCATTCAGCCTCGCGGACATAATATCTCCCGGTGATTCCTCGTCCGTCTCCTGCGCCGTCTTCCGTGCCCGCTGTTCTGTCGTTCAGTTCAACACCTTTATTTCAGCTCTCTTTCTATCTCGCTCGTTCCTTCGTTGCACGCGCGGAGCGGCGCCCGTCTCGTCCTATATCCCGCTACTAACTGTCCTCGTTGCCCCGTCGTCGTGTCTTGTTCAAGTTGGAGATTCGTCTTCTTGTGTATCTTCGTCCGAGTCGTTTGCCTTGCCCAGTGGTTCCTTTGACCCTCTCCACGTGCGCGTGGATTCCATCTTCATCCCGCATCGCACGCCCCGCCGCCGCTCTGAGGCTCGTATACTCAGCCTTTCTGTGCCATCTGCTCGGCTTATTTCGATTTTTCGCTCCAACTCATTCGGCGGAAGATTCTCCTTTTCATTCGCTAATTTGACCTATAGGGTGTACATCTCACTCATCCCATCCTGCGCTCCCGCATGATGGACTACGGTTCTAGTCAGTTTGGTGCTTCTAATTCCTCGATCCTCTCTGCGGCTATCAGAACCCGTGATTGCTCAGCCGTCGCTTGCACTGGCCGACACGGCTCCCTTTCTCTTTTCATTTTATCTTGAATGACGTTCGTTTTTCGGCCACGCGCAACTGCGTAAGCTCAGCCTTCTCAGCCGAGGCTCCTTTGACACGCCTATGTTGTTATATCAACGTGCACCGAACTGTTCAATGTTCAACTCGGGCTATCACCTCAATTGGAGACACATGCTTTTCTACTCCTTGCCCACTTTCGGCTCCAACTACTGGTCCACGCGCCCGGCGGTATCGTTGCTCACGCGCCACATTCTCGAATTTTGTTTGATTAAAGCTCACGCGCTGCCTGGACTCGGAAACATCTTTCACCTCCACCAAATTCCTGTCCTTGACATATATTGCGGTATCTCTTTGTCGGAACACACGCCAAGGGATTGCTGGCCGTTGGCTTCGTCAGAATTTCAACCTTCTCGGGGTACTCTGATGTCAGCTTGCGCACGAAATCGGACGTACCAATAACAAACTGTAAGGCCCTCCGTCGAACACAAAGACCTACAACCCATTTCGCGTCGTTCCGGGAAAACTTCAATTCAAGTACTACAACACGGATCTTACGAGAAAACACCCTCCGGTCGTGACCGCGTTGAGATGTGTTTGATTTGCTTATCGTTGCGCTCTATTGGATGCTCTCGACGCGTTTCACTTGTAATTGCCCTCGCATGAGCCTTTCAATCTAATGGCGTCGTGGGAGTACGTTATCCCACTGGCTATCACCCGTGCGTGAGATGCCCGTATTGCCAAATTTGCAGCGTTGCACGGTGACGGACTTATTTTGACTGCTAATTTCTAGTTTTTATTCCATCTCGCTCTGCTCTGTTTGGGGACCTCGGCCCGTTTCACTCGCCCTCGCACGAGCCTTCGGCTCTTGGAGCTCCGCTCAGTTGGGTTGCTTTGGGCTTCGTTCGACGTCCCATTGCGGCCCTTGTGTACGGGTTCGGTCGTGCCCGGTCCGTCGCCTGCAGTCTCGGCAATTCCCGTGGCCTCACAAAGCCCCGGAATTTTCCGCGAGCTGCCCGGGACCTCCGAACCCCCCCCCCCCAAACACACACAAAACATTTCCCAGCGTTCGTAGAACGCCTCTCGCGAAGCGACATTCTCGTTAAGCTGTATCGTGTTCTTTTCGTCCCATCCCGAAATCCGGACACTCAAATCTAGCTTGTATTGGAGTAGCCCTTGCAGTTCCGATGGTGCTCCGACGTGGTCTGAGTACTGGGCCTCGAGCCACTGCGCGGAACATCGTATCCGGTTGCCGTCCACGCATCCCCATGCAGTATCTACGACGCCCAACACCGAGCGCATCTTCGTGGCTCGTCGAGTCGTTTAAACTCGCTTCCTGCACCAACCAGCACTCGCTCGCGCTTCTCGCAGCGTCACGACTGCTTGCTGCACTCAGCCCGCCCGCAGTTCCCTTCTGCAAGACTCGGCGCGCTTTAACGCTACATTAAAGAATCACCGCGCTTAACAATCAGCAACCCCACGTCTGGGAGAGCGGCGCGGATCTCGGCTCAATCCTCTCATCTGTGCATCTCGATCCCCCTCACCTCACAGCCGCAACATCTTCCTCCTCCTTCATGATACCCCGTGCCCAATCCTTCCCTTCTCCTGTCCCCTGCTGCTCTTCCCCCGCCGCTTGTTCGATGCTTTCGATGGCCTGATCTTGTTGCAGCGCCAGCAGCATCCTCTCGGTTTCTGCTGTGCTTTACCGCAAGGACATCACACTGTACGTGCCGCCGCGAATTCGTCGTATCCTCTCGTCGCTCTCCGAATTCACATCCGGAGCACCCTCTCAAAGTCTCCCGCGTTTCAAACACACCGCTGCGTCGGTCAATCGGCCGAATTTCTGAAACATGCGCAACGAGTCCATTTACGCTCTAGTCGGAATTCTCGTGCATTTCGCCCCCTCACCTCTGCAATTACACTCTTGAACTCTTGACCTATGATCTCTTACGCCTCATCACGATCTACATCATATCTGCTTCAAGCTGGAGCCATCGGTAACTAGTCCCACCTCACCTCTGCACGAGGAAGACCCAATAGCGAAAGGTAACCCACTCCCCTTCTTTGTAGAAGAATCTGTCGCCGTCAACGGAAGATTCTGGTTCGAATCCAGGTCGGGTCGTATTTGTTCTTCGCCACAATTCTTGTTGCCACGCGGCTGCCCGCATTCCTTTTGTATGTCCTCCTGCCCGCGCGTTGCAAAAGGCCGCCGTGCGTCTGCGCCCCCGAGGAGCGGGTTTGCGCGCAGATCTTGGGGTATACGCGTCGCGGAGTACTATTCCAGGTCTGTAGGTCATCCGGAACTGTTCTTGGTTTCGGATCGTTCCGCGCGATGAGTTTCTTCGCATCCTAATTCCTCCCTTAAGCCACACACATTCACACCAGGTGCGCTTCTACTGTATACTACAACGACCCGATGGCGAGAGGTATCGCGCCCGCGCACGCTGCTCTGCTCAATCCAATCGTAAGCGGAAGCTCCTGGTTCGAGTCTAGGTCGGGTCATGGTGCTGTAGGAAATCTTTTTCTCCCGCCCGTAAACTAAACTTTATGATTTCTTTAGACGGGCCGATTAACTCGTTGGATCTATGTATGATATATCTTTCCAAGTCGCAACCGGGGAGAAGGTCAATAGTCGCACGAAGTCTCACCGAAAGAGTCTCACATTTAACCAACGATGTTTGTTATACCAGCAAGACCCGATGACGGACGGGGCCGCTCCTTCCCGCACGTAATGCTTGAGACGTGCATGTGAGCAGGAGATCCTGGTTCGACTCCAGGTCGGGTCATGATCAAATTCTAAGTCTGACCCCACGGGTCGCGCGGGTCGGGTTGTTTCGCATCCAGGAGTTATTATTTTCCCGTGGCTCGCGAGCTAACCTTCGCATTCTTTTCAGGGAAAGATTCACTGAGTCCAAGGCTCTGCAACTGAGCATCAATTCATCTTCAGCAGGTTGTGTGATCCAATTAAACCTCTTCAACCTCAGGGTTATTGCAGGGCAAGGTCAATTTTTGATTTTCCAGTGACTGCAGATCTGAAACCAGATTCTGAACCAACAGGAAAACTCGATCCACCTATAAGTTCCAACCGTTGCTGACGATTACTCGGAAGTAATTGTTGGTTACGCCGTCGGCGGGAGCCGCGTGAAGACATATGGCTCCCCGGTAGCTGCTCTGTCCGCCTCGACGAGGGCGTCCTGATCCGAACTGAGGAAACCCACGCGCCGCCCGCCGTTGGCAGTCGCCAGGGCGTACATTCCGACGGTATTTCTGGACGCGATGAAGCCGTCGTTTTGTATACAGTCAGAGCATGCAGTGCCCGGGAACCCGTGGACTTGATCGTCTGCGAGGGAAAAGTACAGCTCGTTCACGGTGAAGTCTGGTGCGAGGTAATAGTATCCTTGCTGGCGGGGGAGGTGGGCATTAATCGGCGCCGAGACGCGATGCAAACAAGTATGGCCTACCACGGTGAACCCGGGACCGACCTGGAAACAGGCGAGGGGCGTCCCAAAGAGTACATTCGCACCGGGAATGGAGACAAGGGGGCTTGTGATGGAGGCCGTCGTCGCGAAGGGCCCAGAGATCGCGATCCGCATTATGTTGTTGCTGGGGAGCTCCTGATATATGATGCGGGTGTCGCCGGTTTCGGTCTGAACCGCGCAGATATTGCCGATGTTCCCCCCGAGTATCACGGTAAGAGAAATGATATTCAAGGCACGGACAGCGACCGACTTACACCAATACATCAGCGACACTACACCACCGGGGAGATGATTTATACGCCCACAGAACAGGAGGATGGGTGCCCACAACATGTAGGGACGAGCTCGGATGAATGGCAGGTAGAAGAGCTGGATGTCCAGTGAAGATGCCGCGGGTTCAAGGCGCCGGTTATGTAGGACGGATTCGTACAAGCTACGTTAGGTCGACACCCAACCTCACACAGTCACTTGGGATAGCTGGAAATTCTGTGAGACACAGAAGGCACCAAGAAGGCACTGAGTTCCATTCTGTTCCCACTACTTCTGTCAAGGGCTGACATCTGTAACAGGTTCGTGCCTTCAGGAGGACATTGAGGATGACAGATGTACGGACAGGAGTAAGAATCGCCAGCACTTCCGGCGGATTATTCCTTCGATTGCGCAGTGGTTAGCCGACGAAGCATAGCTAAGATTTAGGCTCTGTACTTTTCCCCCGAGAACTCCCCGGGTGTAGTGGACCAGATATACCGTCCCATTTTGCTGTAAGATGTGGATCTGCTGCATTGCTGCGATGAGGCGCACGGAGATCAGAGCCAGTAGCGCCTAAATAGGTGGGACGTGGGTGCTTCAGAGCCCGCAGGATTGGCGCCTCAACTCTGTACCTGGCAGACGGCCCGAGATAATAATAGCGCGTACAAGCCAAATTCAAACGTAGCGAGTTCTTGGTGTGGCAGGATGTACGGGTTCACTGGTACTTGGCTCACCGAGTACAGGAGAATTTGACATTGTCAATGACATCTAGACAGAAGTCACAGAGTTATACGATGCTCTGATTCTCCAAGTGCTTCGTCAAAGGCCTCCTGAAGTCCGGTATCTGTCAGAACAAAGCGAATCAGAGCTTCAGCGATTCGGCGAGACCGATTCTGGTAGGAGACTCAAGAAAGGCGAGTGTCCTGGAGAGTTATTATTGGGCATGTAGCGGGTATTCCAATGCACCGCAGGTCGGTCAAATTCGGAGGGAAAATTCGAATTTGGCCCGGGTGGCGGACATGAAAGCCGAACAAGTACTCGATCGCACCTGGAATATGTCGTTCAGTATGTGATGAAGAGATTCCGAGAACGAGAGCGAAGAGACAAAAACAGAACGTGTCCTCGGATAGCTGAAACCCGAGGGTCTTCTTTCAGGCCTAACAACCGGAGCCGGCCGTAGCGAAAGGAGTGGGCAATCACAGAGAGAACGATCAGGCTGGGACTGGGGCTGGGGCTGCATTAGATAGGCAATTCAAATAGAATCCAGTATGCGGGCGAGGATTCGTGCTCAAATGAACGAAGAAGGCTTGAACTGGAGGCTTGCCAATTCCAGACCGCTATTTCTGGTGCGTATCGCCAGTCGTTTGTCCAAGTAGCTGAGGCGTGCCAAAAAAATACACCTTCTTGAAAGTTGACGTCATCGACATCAGCCGGCCCCTGACTCCGACGTCCAAGAAACAGAAAGCGTTCGCTGAGAGAAACAAATTAATTGACGGAGACAACGCCCACTACGCGTACATACTCACGATTTTCGCCACAAATTTGCGGGCCTTCACGAGATCTACTTCGTTCGATGTAACTACCTACGCACCTGCTTCCACGAATCGCGATTGTGTTATTATTATTATTATTATTTGGCTTTGACAGGAATATAATCAATCGCTGGATCATGGGCAAAAAGGTAAAAGTATGAAGGTACGGGATATGGTGCACTGCAACTGTTCATCAAAGAATTATCAATAAAATCTTCTGGAACCAAATCAAGCGGGAATCGTCTTGTTGTACCAGTCGACAGCTTGCTGAAATGCCTTCTCAAATCCTTCCTTCACCTCCGGGTAGGCGAAGTTGGGACGTGCGCCAAAGCCATGCGCTAGCAAGATTGTGTTAGTATCCTGCCCCCACGTTGGAAACAAGAAGGAACCCGCGTACCAGTACCTAGGAATGTATGTGTCAGCCTCAATGTCGCGCGCGTATCGAAATACGAATTGTGCATACCCTTATAGACCTTGATTTCGTAGTCCACGAAGGTGTCTTTGCCTTTGCGCCCCGCGTAGAAAGCCTCGATCTCTTCGAGACGAGCGGGTTTGAGAGTCATGTCGTCTGTAAAAACCGTTGAAAAAAGCGATACTGAAACAATGGACACGCACCTTCAGCGCACGACCATGCCGTGGGTGCCTGGACCGTTGATTCAGCCACAGCACATTTCAAAGGAAGCCTCTGTTGCTTACTTTGATTGAATTGAGTTGCTCGTCAGTCATAAATGAGGGATGCGCGAGGACTATGCTGCTGAAAAGGTCCGTCGACGCTCCTATCTGTATGGCGATACCGCCACCGAAACAATAGCTAAAGTCGGGGTAAATGAGACGGGCATAGAATTACGAGCGAGTGGGGCGCACCCGATTGCACCGAGCTTCTCATATTTCCTTTCGGCTTGAAGCTTTTTGACGAACTACTCGCCAAGTCAATATCAATATTTATCTCGCGAAATGCGGCATATGGAATGTACCGAGATGGCCCGCGACTCGACTATAGATGGACGGTTCCTGAACATCGCCAGAAAGCTTGGCAGAATGGTGAAAAACAGGTGCACGTAGTCGAAGAACCCCAGCTTGACCCCAGCCTTTTGGGGTAGGCGGTTCATTTGCGCCTCGGTAACCGGTGGGTGGCCTGAATATCCGAGTTCAGCGCCCACAGCAGCTCGTGGATATCCACGCGCCTGCGAAGAGATCGGGAACCCAGACATCACATTGGAGGTGCTTGCTGAAATTGTCGGCCAGGATCTTGCAGTTATTTAAAGGAAGTCCGAAAATGTCCGTCAAGAGGATGATGGCTCTTTTGGACGTCCCGCTAGTGGCAGCGGCTAAGTACGCGCCCTCCGTGGAAATGACACCTGTGGGCTCGCCATCGAGCACAGCACCTTTGAAACAGTCGGGGCAGCTCATAGTGGTTGATGAGAGGTGGACGACGAATTCACGTTAAGTAGTGCTCAACGTGGCCGAAAGCCGAAAGGACTCGTCATCGTTTTAAGCGCCCTATTTTCACGTCCGGCAATAAATCACATTTTCGTCATATCCTTTTACGTGAGCATCACATTCCGGATAAATGGCAGAGATGAGACCGCACATTGGGGAAGGACACACGGACCACACGAGCCCCCTGAATTTTCCTGGGGTTCTGGGACCAGCACGCACGCCAGACCAGGAGCACTTACACCTATAGCCCTGGGTTTGATGGACCGGCAACTGGTTCTCAGCTGCTTCCCCTCCACGTATCCCTTAGATATTTTGTTCATATACGCACTAGTAGTACATGAATCAATTCCGGAAAACTCCGGGGGCATAGACGAAGAGGGGAAATAGAGAAACTCGACTTTCTGACCCATTGTACACTTTCTGACCCGTTGGGTGTAATAGTAAGAGATTCTCCCCCATATTGTTATCGCTGATCCGAGTCAAATAACGATCTCCTCTTGTCAGGGTGCGGCTCGGAACGAATCCACGTCTTCGAAATCGGGGAAACTAGAATCGTAGTCATAATTCCACACGATGAGGGGCAGGTTTTGTGTAGCCCAGTCGTGGATGCCGGGGTAGTCGTCGCTCACGCAGCTTTGGAACATGTCAAAGAATTGCTTTGCGTCCACGATTGCGAGACGCTCCGGCGACGGAGGTGATGTAACGTGCTCTGCGGCGTAGAGATCGATCATGACGACCGCTTGTGAACCGGGTGAGCCGGTGAGGATGAAGTTGGCGCCACGAATATCGGGGAGGGTCCAGC